TGGCCAGCTGCTTTCTACGGCGTCTTAAAAAATTTTGAACGAAAAGACCTAGACCTAGGACGCCCATGACCTAAGACCTATAGACCTACAGATGTTTTTGAAAGTTGATTGCACATGGCGCGCATAACTTGGAAAGCTGCTTCACATCAACAAAGTATGTTAAGAGGATGCTTTACGCCGTACGAATTTTGCTCAACTCACCCACGTTGAAGCTCAGCCAATGTAAGAAGCGCAAGAGTGACCATAAAGTGGCCAGCTACGTAGCATTGCAGGCTGTATACCCAGAGAAACGTATCATCACATCGACATCTACTTACCCGGACTTACCCTTGCAGCACCTGATGGCTTTTGCTGCACCTTGACTCTACCGGTGTTCCACCTTTTTTCCACCTTTTTTCCACCTTTTAGGTTTGCCTTTTTTGTTACCTTTACCTTTTGGCATTACCTTTTTTCTACCTTTATTCCACCTTTTTTTTTAAACTATGTTGTAGGCTTGTGTCCAATGAGTTTTTTTTGTAATGCTAGTCCTCGATATTGTAGCGCTGAAGGACCTGACAATCATCCACACACCTCAAATTGCAGATCCTCAACCTCGTATTGACATCTTTGTTCGTGCCGGGCCCCCTGTCTTAGCATGATGAGGTGAATACTTTAGGAGGACCCCCCACCCTGCAATAGTGATATAAGAGTAATATAAGAGGACCCTGATATAATCCTTATTATCCCTTATAGTCACTGTTACAGGGTGGGGGGTCCACCTAATGAATACTTATGATTCTGAAGTGACTTTCTGTGCGAACTTCTGCACTCTGGCTGCACCCGAGCAACAAACCAGGAACTTTGCTTACCACCTTCTGGTAGAGCATATGCGTCTGGTGGACATGAGCCGCAAATTTTGCGTAGCCTACATGTCCGAAAGACAGCATGGTCGCCCAAGCTTGTGCGATGACAGCCCCTCCACGGGCACCTGGTAGTTTCCCCAAATAGGGGGATCCCAATACAAACCCTTAAATATTGCAAGCCGTATCATTGGGACCCACAAAAAGGTACAATCTTGATGTATTTTTTGGAAACCTCCGACCTTGCATGGTGGGCGTGACATAGAGGCCCTCGCAGCCATCAGTAACAGGAACATAGGTCATGCGCCGGAGCCCTGGGTCACGGAAGGCGATCACGCTGACGCCCTTGGACGCATTCCTGGGTTGCTGTTAAGGAACTTAAATTAAGTTACTAAATTGGGGAAACCCTATTATTCACTATATATACCCATTATGGAAACTTAAACCCTAAACCCTGAACCCTATATAACCCCATTATAGTAGTTTCCATTTTCTTTTCCATTATCCCTACTATATACCCATTATGGTAACTTAACTTAAGTTCCTTAACAGCAACCCAGATTCCCGTACTTGTGGATGTCCACACTAATGGAGCTGACACCGGGAACCCGAAAGTCCCAAGCTTGAAAATCGAAGGGCTCCTTCATCTGGGTTGCTGTTAAGGAACTTAAATTAAGTTACTATATTGGGGAAACCCTATTATTTACTATATATACCCATTATGGTAACTTAATTTAGGGTTTAGGGTTTAGGGTTAAGGGCTCCTTCATGTCCTCCATGCACTCCATGTAGGACAGCAGTACACCACCCAAGCAGTTGTCTACATGTAAGCCGATACCCTTCGAGGTGGCTAGGTTGCCGAGATCTGACACGTGATCCACTACACCATGGGGAAAGGTGGGCGCAGAGGCATAGATGCAAACAACATCACCTGTGATATATCTTCGTACACGCTTGGCTGTCAGCGCGAAGCCTGCAGATTCGTCCACTGGGATCTTTGTCAAAGCCATGCCAAAGTAATGGCAGGCTTTTACTATGCAAGGGTGGCATGTGTTCGCCGCCAAAATGCGTGGAGTCGTGATTCCCCTGCTTCGGCCAAGCTCACCTGAGCCACTCGAGCTGCTATGCCAATCGAAAACTCCACCTTCTTAGATCTCGTGAAACAAGATATGACATCAGCTGTTGAGGAGTGGACGGTAGCTCAGCGCTGCGAGCATGACAGATTCTGTCCCCCCAGAGGTCAGGAGGCCGCAGGCAGGGCTGCGACCACTGAGCATGTGGATGGCCCAGCTTACCAGCTCTGCCTCATACCTTACTGGGGGTTGGCAAGAAATATGGGAATATTTCATATAGGGATTATATAGGGGGTATCATATAGGGATTATATAAGGGGGATCATATAGGGATTAAAAAGGGACATATTCCCTTATTCCCTGCTAACAACTAGCAAGATACTTGCGGACAGAGGGGAACACGCCCTCGTACAGCGTGTTTGAGCAGTTGTAGATGCCCCAGACCTTGTTCTGGAGATCAACAAGCTCCCCAACCGGGGCATGGTAGATGCCAGCCCACTTCTTGGCGACACCCACCTTGGCAGGCCAAGAACATGACAACTCTGTGCTTCGTGCCGAACATGCGCGGGAAAGCTTTCTGTGCAGCCGGGCATCGTATTCCGCAGATTCTGCTGCGTTGGCCTCTTGAATCCTCTCGAGGATTCTTGTGCAAGGCAGACCTTCCCGTGGGAGCATCAGCAGCGCTGTGGGATCGCCCTCGCCGTGTATGGACTTCTCGATCGATTTCAACTCTTTTGCTACTTCCGAGCGTACGACGCTCCGGATGTATGGCAGAGCACAAACAGCTCGCAACCCTTCCCTGCCAATCAGGGCCACCATTCCACGTAGCCCTCTCTGCCACATCTCAATGCCCCAGCCCCGGCAAGCAAGAACTGAAAGTGCAACGCATAAAACGTTCCAGGCAGTGTTCAGGCGAAGCCAGCTACCGAAAGGCTGCTGCATAAAAACTTGAATGGAACTTAATCTCTTATGCGCCCGGAGTGGAAGGACCAGCGTCATCAAGACGCATGCCAAAACCCTGGCATCCGCTGCCATGGCATGAAAAGGGGCCAGCTAGTGCTATGCAGTGCTGCTAGCTGCTAAGCTCAAGGCTGCAACCCCTCTGGGAAGAGGCTGCAGCAGCCAACATCACGAGTCGCGCGGAGTCCAGTCAAATTCAATACTGGCAAATACTGGGAAGCAACTCAGCGGGGATACATTGCCGGCCTCAAAATTCATCACGGCAGTGTAGAGGAGCTTCTCCTCGATGGGCGCAAAATGGCGGGAAAGCACAGCAAGCGCCTGCTGCAACTCCTGTACTACCAGAAAGCGCTGATGCAGGACAGCATGCTTTTTGAAGCTTCGCAGTGCGGCCGCTAAGTAAGTATACACTAGGGTCGGGTTCTCACTCAGCTTGAAATGGGCATCTCGTCTTTCAGGTGTCGAAGCCTGCACTGCCAACCCAGCACAATCATAAATGACTGGCTTTGCAGGGCAGTCCGTGCGTCCAAGGGGCATCTAGACTGCACGACTGGATCCTCCGAAAGCACGTTGCCATGACAAAGCTTCACAGCTCGCCTGAACAGCTTAGAAAGTTCGCGTGAAAGCTTCGATGGTGCAAACACCGACGTCAAACTTGCAACGTGTGCAGCTTCAAGCAAGTTCTGAACTGAGAGCAGGCAGGGCTCCCTAAGCACTCATCTGGATGATGAATCTGCAAAGGAATCTTCTTGGGACATCCGATGTAAAAGTGTTGATCCTGCAGGTCCAAAGTTGATGTAAGTTTAAAGGTGGCATGCGTCCGGTCGCGTCCTTCCAGGTGAAGGAGCCCCGTCCACACATGCCTAGGCAGCTGAGGAGAAAATCAAACGCCTGAAGCCGTTTACCCTGCGCGCACCGCATCAGCACTTTCCGAACTGATCAACCAAGAAACCATACTCGATGACGTCGCCGTTGTCCCGAAACTCATGAAACACAAGCTGGGCAATCTTCACAGCCACCTCAGGGGATGACCCGAGATTCCAAGCTTGTCCACAGAACGCACTGCCAGCTTCGCACACGTACCTCTGCTCCACCAGTGCTGTTGGAGTACTTGGTCCCGAACCTTCATTACACTCTGCGACTCTCTGATAGCAAGGCATCCAATGCGTGCCCATCTGAACTGTAGCCGGCGGTTGACCAGAATCTCTAGGCTACGGAGTGGTTTAACTGCTTGCAGAAAAACGGAGGCGTTCTCGAAGAGCTAAGGTCAAGGCATGCCAGCTAACCAGAACAAGTCCTGGACGAAAGGTGCGAAGCTCATGGAGCTGGTGTGACTTGACATCGGGCGACCACAACGCGCCTTGCATCCTAGACGTACACATTGAAAGCATCAAAGCGGTGTCAGGTTCAGTCCTTTTGCCCTGACTCTGGTAGCCGCACTTCGCCCTTTCGGTCCACGCTGCTGGCAGCCAGCGCCCCGCCTTTTCAGCGTCTTTACGCGGCCCAGCTGAAATACTCCGACAATTTACTTCTGGAGACTTCACAGGTTGATAGGAACAGAGAATTCATGTGCCCCTTCTGGCCAAACGAGTGCCACTTCCAGACCAGGGCACACTCGGATCCTTCGTTTGTGACCTCGCCCGAATGGAAATCCAGCAAGCGGTAGTCCTGGCTTCAGGAGCCTTAATGGTAGTTTCCATGTTCTTTTCCATTATCCCTATTTAACTCTACTTTTCTTGTCCATTATCCCTATATAACCCTACATAACCCCATATAATACCCCCTAAACCCTTCAGAGAACTTGCTCTGGCATGCCTGGCGTTGTTCCCATGCAGTTCCCCCCCTTGTCGGTCCGTGAAGCCGCTCTCTTCATTGGAGCAGCTGTGCGATGGCCTTAGGATGCACGCTAGATTTAGGATTTCGGTTTTCGTTGTTTTTTTTGTTGGGGAGGGGGTTGAATGTGGTTAGCTTGGACGGCTAAGGTCTTATAGGACGAGCTGAATCATATTACCATTATTACCCGTTTGATTGCTGTCATATGGCTACTATATTACTAGTATGTTATGCTATCATTACTGCAATGTCTATTATACTAATACGAGTACTATTAGTGCTATTATTTCTATTATGGGCAGTATATTGCTAATATCAGTACTACTATTACAATTAAGAAGATTACTGGCATTAATACTACGATTTCTATTATGGTTGTTATTGTTATTCTTGCATGAAGGCCGCCAGGTGAACTCCACGCGGGCGATCACCAAGCTCAAGCTCCTGCATCAGCAGGTCAAGCCAGAAAGCCACCTTGCCTGACGATGGTCGTGCCATGTGGGCTAAAATCTAAACTGCCAGTATCCGTATAGTAGTCCCCTATCGAATCCCCTAAATAGCCCGATTTTAAGGAGTTTAGACTATAGCTCATGTGGTTTCCTGGGATCTTCAATCCGCACATGCGTTCTGGACTCGATGAAGGACACCACTTCCTCCACTGGAAGACTTACCTGAGCACATTGCTGGCCTTCGGTTAGCAAATGGAAACTACTATAATGGGTTTATAGGGGCTACTATAAGGATCCATTCCTTCATTCCCTACCCTACACCCTAAACCCTAGACTACTGTGAGGATCCATTCCTTCATTCCTAGCTCAGCAAAGAGCACATTGAGCCGGGGTCCGCCACGACTGAGCCAGCGAGGCACTCCCCCCGCTTCTACGGAGTATATAGAGATGTAAGGATACAGACGTACAAATATATATATATATAATTTGCGTATTAAATGGCAATATGGGGGTTATATAGGGATATATATATATACTTAGTTTATTTAAGGGCAGCATAGGGGTCATATAGCGATATATTTGTATATATATATATATATATGTTTCCAACTACGTGCCCAGTAGCCTTGAAATGGAATCCGCGGGCCTCTTCACCCTGCCTCGAGACACAAGGACGCAGTCGACGGAATATGTGATGTGTGGCTGAGTTTCCCAAAGCCGACCTGTCTCGATACTCTTGGCGAGATTCTAGCGTAGCCTTGGCTTCACACTCGGGCAAGGACATGCTGGCCGAGGCTGAAACTGAAAAGCTTGCTGCCGACCCATGATTCCGCCCAAGCCAACAGGTCGCGGGTGTCTAGATCACACAGTAAACTTGTCGTCCCACCTTCTGAATCTATCACTCAAACACAAGGAGGAAGCTCCCCCCAGTACATTGCCAGTCTTTGTGAACAACTGCAGGCTCTTTGTTGGAAAGCGTGTTTGGGCCTGCCAAGGCTCTCTCTCCTGTATGCATCGCATCCCACACACCCTTCTTCACAAGCCCCGTCGACCCAAAATCCGACCTAGTGTGTGGAATATCCCAGGAGTATGGAGGTGTCAGAACCACCCTTGTGCCAGGGAGCCACTTGGACCACGAACTCATTGGGCTCCTCTACTTTGGGTAAGAGCTCACGGTCTGGCCTGCTCAGGTTTCTGAGATGTCGTACAACGGCTTTCCCAGTCCTTGGCACAGGTCGTCTTGCTCTGCAGCACAGATCCCATCAACGGCAAAGTGCCAAGGCCCTGACCTCTCAACCTTGGACAAGTTGGGATTTTGAGATGATCTTTATTTGGGAAGTTGCGGACAATTGAGTAGGGTTTTGTGGTGGTTGAACCTAGTAAGATAATATTCCTTATATAAAATACTATACCCCAAAAGGAGGATATAATCTCACTCTAAATTGGATACCATAGCATCCCCAAATAAAATGCTACTCAATTGGTTCTACAATCCTACGTCCCAGCGCGGATGCAAATATGATGGCAGCGATTCGAACTGCAACCATGCTCTTCGGTGGTCCATGGTGGGATGGATGGTCTTGCCGCCGGGTCACTCCAATGCTGTCTACCATGTCGGACACTTCCTCAGTGCTTATAGCTCTAAACCCTCAACACTCTTTCCCAAACAGTCACTTCCGTTTTCTATCCAGTACCCCTAGATGGCGCGTATATATAGATATAGCTATAGATATGTATATACACATATGTAATTTCATGCAGATGTATATATGTAGATATACGTGTGTGTGTGTGCGTTAACTCAGCACAAGCATTGAGACCTGTTCAAAGCACACCTGCACGTCAAGAGTCCTTTACGGTACTCAAGACCTCATCGTGAAGATCCGGCTTGATGTCATCAAGGGTGGCATTCATGGCAAGAATGTCCCTTGGTGCTCGAACTGTCAGTCAACAGCCAAACAAAAAACAGGGAAGAACTGACTTCGAACAGCTGCAGGCAAACTTGGACACCGGACTTAATTTCGAAGCCCGGGGCACAGGTGGATTTCTGAAAGGCTTAAGGCTTTCTATCATTCGAGCGGCTTCTTCTTCAAGCCCACTTGCGCGGCCGCTTCCAGAATCTCCTCTGGCGAGGCTGCGGGTGTGGTGGAGGATGATCGGAAGATCAGCTTCCTGATGGCAGGTCAGCGTTGCAATGTGTGGGGCAACCGATTCTGCAAAGACTTGCCGCGCTCACTGCTGTATAATCTCAAGCGTCAAGACAGCAATGATGTCTTCATAGTGGTCTGGATGGATCAGCTGCAGTGTTTCGTTGAGCTGAGCCAAATGCCTTGGAATGCTGTCAGCACTTCCTGGAGCTGCGTGGCTTCAGTAGCAGAATGTAAGCCAAGGACAGACTTCACAAATCCATCGTGCTGGCGAGTTGCCACTGATCAAACCCCAGCTGTGACATCACATCGAGAATCGCATGTATTGGTACAGGTGGCTTGCTAGTGGACGTGGTTGTGGCAGGTGGAGTCGAAGTGGCCTGATGCACAGGCTCGCAGCAACAAGTCTCCTTTGCGCAGGCTCCGACTTGCGCGCGAGTAGTCTCCTAGCCAGCCAGCTCGCCACTTAACTGCCAAGTGGCTGTGGCATTCTGCAGGGACACGGAATGTGCCCTGGAACAATGCAGCAATTCGCGGCAGTTTGCAGTTGCACATGTTGGCTACCGTGCTATCTGCGAGAGCAGCAAGAGCGCAATATGCAGGACAACGACAAAGCAGCAAACACATGTGCTGGTTCTTCATGCTTTGATCTGATGTGTTCGTTTTCCTAAGCTTGCAGCCAGGGCGCAATACATGCATCAAAGCTGTTTTGGCAGAAAGGCTCATCCCGTCCAGGAGATCTTGCAATTCAGAATCCTGCCTCAAGATTTGTGAAACTTGCGCAGATTGCATCCTCTGAAACCAGCTTGCATAAAACACATGCCCAGCTGCTGAGGCGTATAGCCTAGATGAACTGCTGCTTCGTGGATAGCTTTGTCTAGCTGCATGCTGGTCACCGCCTGCGATGAAGGAATGAAACGATCATCCCACTTCATATACTCCTACTCTCTGTAAACTCCGGGAAACCTAGTTGCCATGCCTGTGTCAAGTTGATTTTCTATGTTATGAAACTCCAGTGACTACAATATCCTGTATATATCTTTAGATATCTCTATAATCCCTGGAGGCCTCCATCGTATTTTCCATATTCTTTTCCATTTGATTCTCTATTATTGGGGGTTACATCCCTGCACCCTACATGATACCTACACGCACAGTTATACCCCTATATCAAACATGCCCAAGCCCTTTTTGCAACAGGCTTTCTGAGTCCGCCTGGTATCCTGCACTGTTAACCGAGCTCCGCTCAAGAAAGGCAGGGAACTGAGATGGCTGCACACGGCAATCGCTCAGCGAACTGAGCAAATTCACGGACATTGAACTCCAAATGAACTACCACTCCAAGCCCTAAACCCTAAACCCTAAACCTAAGCCCTTTTCCCTAAACCCCAGACATAAGCTCTTTTCCCTAAACCCTAAGCCCTAAACCGCGTCCATCACACACACCAGCCTCGCATCCGCAGGTTGCCATGCAGTTTTTCTGGGCCCATTCGCCTGAAGCAGGAGACTTTCCAGAATTGAAGCCAGGCGCGGTCAGGGTTTAGGGCTTAGGGTTTAGGGTTTAGGGTGGGAGGGTCAGGGGGACTTAGTGAGTAGGTTAAGAACGGGGATATTGAGGGTTACTATATGGGTTATAGAGGTTATTGACCTACTGACTAAGTCCCCCTGACCCTCCAAGTAAAACCTGAGCTCTAAACTTACCGGGGGGGTTGGTAGGGAACAAGGGAATATAATCCTTAAAAAACCTTCATACCATACACTCCCATATTCTCTGCTAAGCGCCAGGAAGGAAAAATTCACAAGCCAAGACAGGTATAGTAGCCCTATCCTGCCTTTGCATGCCTCTCTCAGGGAGGAAGCGCTAGCGAGAGCTCCCCATCCGTTGTCGCGTGCCTAAATGAAGCAGACGTTTGTTTAAACAATCTGAAAGTTGCACCAACTAAAAATATACAGTAGTTTCCATTTTCTTTTCCATTATCCCTACATAGTACCAATATACCCTATAATCCCTATATAACCCCTATATGATCCCTATAAGTCCTATAGTTTCCATTTTTTCCATTATTCCTAAATAACCCCCCATATATACCCGACTGTAATATCACCTGCTTCATCCCTAAACCCTAAACCCTAATCGCAACCCAGCGGCCCATTCCTCGCAGTTCTCTGCCGGAATTTGGGTGCTCCATTCTGGCTCCCAGGTGTCCTCGCAAGCCTGCATATATAGGGATAATTTAGGGATAATATGGGGATTGTATAGGGATAATATAGGGATAATATAGGGATTATATAGGGATGATATAGGATTTTCCTTGACCCTGACCCTAGCCGACAGGTGCTAGGAGGGAGTCTAACAGCCATGCCTTATCAGAGACTGTGATCTCTGAGGCATTGGACGAATTCAACTTGACGAGGACGTCGAGAGTTACATTTGCCAGCTTGCTTGCGCTGCTGGGCGAGGTTACATTTGTTTCTCGTGTATTGGGGCCCAAGGTTTTCACCAAAGTGTTGGTAGCACTGCCCAGGGTGCCAGTGGCATTGCCCGAAGTACCAGTGCCGGTGGCATTTTCTGAAGTGCCAGTGACATTGCCCGAAGAATCCGTCGACTCTCCAACCATGTTGGCAACAGACGAACCTTGTTGGAATGCCAGCGGTGGTTCAACACTTTTACAGTGCCTGCAGACCGCCCTATGCAATGTGCAGATGAGGCGCCACTAGCGCCGAAAAACCTGAGCATCAAACGTCAAAGCTGTCTCAGAACTGGGCCGAGAATCAGCAAAGGCGGGAAGCAAGCTAGCTGCCAACAATGTTCCAGACCTAATAATAATGGTAGGTTCCATACATAGCTCTAATCCTTTTTAGGGGACCCCACAGAAGTACCCCTAATTTGCGGAAAACCTAATGCGTATTTGCCTGCTATCCCGACCCGCAACTTTGCCCTAAACCCTGAACCCCTAAATTCAGGAAACCCTCAAAACCCTAAACCGTAAACCCTAAAACTAAACCCAAATGATCAGCCAGAATACCTTGCCCAGAGCCCATCGACCGGTGCATCAGGGGTGGTCTCTTCGTTCTCTGCATGGCCCTGGTCCTGATTTCACTGGCGAGCCAGGGTATGTGGATTTAGGGGTTTAGGGCTTAGGGCCATGAGACATTCTGCAAAACGGGGGGCTGGCTGATGCAAGGTCTGAGCAGGCAATTTTGCGTTACGGCATCCACGGCATGTCCTGTCGCATCAGCGCCCGCAGTGTGGCAGTGCCTTGAGAGTCCACCGTTGCGACTCGCCTGCCGTCCGGTTCCACGGGAGATGTTCAGGCGATGGCAGTTGCTGAGGCTGCCGCTTTTGCTTTTGCGAGTCATGTGCAGAAATGCTGCTAGCAGAGAGCCGCCCAACCAGGGAACCTCAACCACCCGCAGGATCACACGGACAAGTCTCAAAGCTCTCAGCCCAACACTTCTCAGCACACGGCTAAGCAGTAGCCAACGACCAAAGCCATGGGAGCCAGCCAGCATGGCCTCAAGTGCTCCAATCAATTCACACGGAACCTGAGGCCTGACTTTTCGCCCAATTTTGCACAAGAATCAAAAAGGCTGCCATCTGGACGAAATTGCATGCCAAGATGCTGGGGTATGGAGGGATGATATGCATCAAACAACCACTATCGGCCCGCTTCTGTTTCGAACCGAATGGCTGACGGCGTGTGGCTGTGTAGCTAGGATCCAAGCCTACCCGGCGTCGACTCACATACGTGCGTGTTTCCAGAATTGAGATGGGGGCTAGGGATACCTTTTTGGGCTTCCTATAAGAAGGATGATGGCATTTTGAGGTCTATGTTGGGGTTCACCTTTAAAGGAAGCTACCAATCAAGCAAATATCCATTGACATTGGGGATCCGGCCAAGTCTTCCTTGGAGTCGCAGAGTGGGATCCATAGCTCATTCCCGCAAGTATGCCTTTGCCAAGAAGCTCCCAAGAGGGAGTTTCTCAAAATGGGCAGGGCATGCTCCGGAATTTAGGGATAGAATTGGATTATGTAGGCATCCTGAGCCTAAAGGAGTACATAGGGCTTGTCTTGAGAAGCTCCCACATCTGTAGCGCATGACAACCCACCGCTTTCTGCACTGACTGAATGAGACCCAACCCTACAACATCCTACAACCCAAGTTTTCCAATTTTGCCATGGTGCCCTTCAGGGAGACGGGTTGCGGGCCATGACTCTATCCTCATGCAGAACTGAGCTCTACACAATCTACACTCTACACCGGCCGCACACAAGGCGCACAGCTGGCAGTCCTCTTCACTACGGCCTGGGAAGTTGTCTCGGCACGCATCCTCATGAATTGCATCGTGGCGTCTGCTGAATGGTGCAACAAACTTGACAAAGCTCTTGGCTTGACAAAGCTCTTGGTCTTTATTCTTACAATGCCAGGAAGATGAGGCCGAATATTGTCAGAGTGACTGAATTTTTCTGCGCCGAATTCGGCGTCGCTCGCCGGTCCGACGATTTACCTGGAGCCTGGCGCCTCAGCTAACAGGGTTTAGGGGCTAGGATTTATAGGGTTTAGGATAGCAATTCCACTGCAGCTTGCTGACTGCCTGGCCATCTGTAAGCGCAAGACCAATGTCTATGACGTACATATTGCGCCCAAGTTGGACCTCCATCATCCTGTCGCACAGAAAGTGGCATCTGCTCGATAGCTTCAGGGCCTGCTACATCCCTTCACTCTAGATAACTCTTGTATACTCCCGAATATTCATGTATATATATGTGTGTATATATACATATATGTATATGATCCCGTATGTAACCGCTAGATATATATACAATCCCTATATAACCCCTATATACATCTGTAGCCCACAGCCCCGTGCCTCAAGCCGCCTTCAAGGGCATTGTTGAGGCTTCCGCTGATCTCCTTGGTTGCTGTACATTGAAGTTACCATACTGGCGAATCCCTATTATCATTTACATTATATACCCATTATGGTAGCTTAATTTAAGTTCCTTAACAGCAACCCAGTCTCTGGGCTGTATGATGACCACGTGCCACTTGGCAGCTGCATCTCCCACTGAAAATTGGCCTCAGTACAGGGGGAACTGTGGTAACCGGTGGTAACCCCAAAGCACGGAAGCCTAAGAATATAGTAGGAACACAATAGGAATACAAGGACCCTGGTATGTATGTTCTATAAATATGATACTTTCCTATGATATTCCTGGGGTTCCCTGCTTCGGGGTTCTCATTTTACTCGCTTTACTGAGGGTTTGTGCATTTTATGGGTTTGCGCCCCCTATAATAGTCCACTATATGATTCCCTATATGCCCCCCTTTAAGGAGTTTAGACCATAGCTCAAATGGCGTTAGAAGAGCTGGCAAGAAAAGGCGGGTAAGGATCTTGTATGAGGCAGCATAACCCAGACCCCTGATTAACAAACCCCCTGATTATAATGGGGGTCCTAATATTTAGGCCCTTAAAAGGAGGGGGGTTTATGAATCATGGGTTTACATTAGTATCTTCGCATGACACAGCTGGTGGCTGAAATGCTGGAGGATATATAACAAGGCTCTCTGAAACCTTGAACAAAACTATCAGGCTCACTGTTTAGTTCAAGTTGATTTGACCATTGTACAAAAGATCCCCAATGGGCAAGCTGCCATGAGAAGTGGCTTCTCCTGCGAGATCATGACCTGGGCGCTTGTCGAAATAGAGGCTCCCGAACAAATTTGGAAGGATCTTCACTTCCCAAGACAGTGGCTCATACATGCAGAACCCCCCTAACTCCATGTTCCCTCGAACAGTTTCAGAAACCCATGTTCCCCGTTCCTATCCCCATAACTCCCTCAACCCATGTTCCCTATAAAAATCCTGCTTTTTTTGGCAAGAGAAACCCTTTTAGGCAACCGAATTTAGGATAGATGAGGAATACGAAAGAATCAGGGGGGTCCCATGAGGACAGGGAATCTTCGTAGATGTAAGAGTAAGCATAATGAGGTACATCCATGAAACAAAACAACAAAATCTTACCCCGAGGAAACCCCTGAACCCTCATTAGGCCCGTAAACCCTAAACCCTTGAACCCCAAACCCTCAAACCCTCTTAAACCCTTAAACCCTAAATCCTAAACCCTAAACCCTAAATAAATCCCAAACCCTAAACCCATCTTAAACCCTTAAAACCCTAAAACCCTATTTTGAGAATCTCCCACCTGTAGCCTGGGCTTCGGCTCGATGGCTTCAATGCCCCCAAGGGGAAGACGCTCGCTTCCGGTCCAAAACTCGAAGAGCCGCGACCTGTGGGCTTCAGGGTCTGAGGGTTTAGGGTTTATAGGGTTTAGGGTTTAAGGGTTTAAGGGTTTAAGGGTTTAGGGTTTTAGGGTTTTAGGGTTTTGGGTCTATAGTCCTCCTTTAGTAGATAGAATATGGCTTTGGGTATATTATAGTAAGATCCCCATCTACCCCATATTCTATCTACTTGGGGGGGACTACAGGGGTTTAGTGTAGGGTAGGGGAGAATACCCCAGCAATGGAGAATCAAATGGAAAAGCAAATGGAACATATTCTGGAAACTGGGGTCATGTAGGAACATATTTCCAGTGTAGGACCGGGGGGTCCCTTTGAGTGGCTGTAGGACTGAAAACATGGGGATTCCATGGCATCGTATGGGTGACCTGTTGATGGCCTTTAGGCTTAGGCATTCTAGTTTCAGGGGGCCTGGATGACGCCGGGCTTCAAAATCCTCGGCATGGATTATTGGCGAGTGTGGGTTTCTTGGTCGGACCTCTGCAGGGGCTGAATTCTGAATGGCGCGTGGGATTATGGATTTTTGTGCAAAGCCATTGTCCGGGCTCTAAGAACAAGGAGTAGGGTCCCAAAGGCCTTAGCGACATCAGGAATAAAGTAGAGAGGCCCAACGCAATCCCATCGAGCCTCAAAATCACATGAAAAGAAGAAGAAGGGTTACAAGACTGATTTTGACAGTCTGCTGCTAATCCTGCCAGCAGAGACATGTGGAACTCCAAATGAAAAGCTTGCCCTTCTGCCATCTCCATCACCGTATAAAACATACAACCCCAATATTATAGCAGTTTCCATTGTATACGCTACTACTCTAAACCCTACACCCTAAAAAGTAGTTTCCATTTTATTTTCCATTCTCCCAGTATAGCCCCAATACAACCCCTATAGCCCTAAACCCTGAACCCTATAGCCCTAAGCCCTAAACCCTAAACCCTAAACCCCTATAACCCTGAACCCTATAGCCCTAAACCCTAAACCCCTAAACCCTAAACCCTAAACCCCTAAACCCCTATAACCCTAAACCCCATATTATACTATCACCCATCTGGCCTGAACTTGGAGTCGCCCTTCCGGATGATCTCAAAGAGCCAAGCCACAGATGTTTGGAGCTCGCTGGAATCCTGAGCTGCTATTCAGAAACTTAAGTTACTATAGGGTTTAGGGTTTAGGGTTTAGGGATATTATCCCCCTATAATGGAGAATCAAATGGAAAAGATAATGGACAATGAAATGGAAACTGGGGGGAATATAGGGACTTAAGGAACTTAAGTTAAGTTACTACATACATTGTGGAAACCCTATTATTCACTATATATACCCAGTGTGGTAACTTAATTCAAGTTCGAAACTTAATTTAAGTTACTACGTACATTGTGGAAACCCCATTATTCACTATATATACCCAGTATGGTAACTTAATTCAAAGTAACCCAGAATCTTTCAGGTGCTTGGGCACCAACCCGTCTGGCACCAGAACTTGCTCGAGCTTGTCAATTTGCGCATCCGTGATTTGAGCATCACCCAGTAGCAGCCATTGAAAAACATCAGCAGGCGCCCCATGGAACAGAGTTGGAGGAAGGACGTCGAAAAAGCCGTCACTAAACGCCTGCAATCCCTTTTGGGAAGAGTACAGCAAGGCAGCTTTGCAGCACAGCCGAACATAGTCTGCCTTGTTTTCCTTACTGGTAGTTAGTAGGGAGTAAGAAAACATTATCCCTATATAACTATATATTCCATACTATAATGTAGTAGTTTCCCTTTCCATTCTTCCTATATAACACCTATATATTCCCTACTATAATGTAGTAGTTTCCATCTTATCTTCCATTATCCCTAGATAACACCTACATAGCATCGTCCCGTATTCCCTACTAAGCACCAGTAAGTCTCTGGAGTCACCTCTATGTCGTCACCTCCTGGGACCAGCTCCTTGCCAGCATAAGAGAAAGTCAGCCACTGTAAATCCTCATCAGGCATTTCGTACCTGGGTAGCTCCCCAAATTAGGGTCCCATTTAGGTCATAGAGAAAAGAATTGCAGGATATTGCAACAGTAAGTAGTTAGGGGTAGCAAAATGGGACCCTGATTTTGGCAACTTCCCGCCTGACTCTCCAAAGACTGTTGGCAAAAGCTGGGTCCATGGTCGCAAGGTCTTCAAGAAGTTGGTCGTCTCCTGCTGGCGTCTCATCCCAGACGGGCAGAGCAGCATGGCGAGGTATCGGGGCATCGAAGCATCGGACCCAGACATCACCATCACTCCAGCGAAGCCTTCCTCCTGAGAGTTTTGCAGATAGGGCTTCGCCCTCAAAGTCCGCTTGGATGGAGTCACCTTCCAGGATGGGCTACGAAACCGTAACTGGCCATTCATCTACCCTTATTAAGGTACTAACCGGGAATCTTAGGGTCTAATAGTAGCCCATACAGGTCTCGGGATGCACCAGATGGGTGAACAACAGGACCCACATCATCACAAGCCACTTCGCGCTACTGGGCCCAAACCCTCAGTCGCAGCCTGATACGCTTAGAGCAATCTGAGGTGGCAGGCCATCCTCCGCCTGAGATCAACTTTGATGCTAGCTGCAGATCCAGGACAACCCATCCAAAGCAACTTGACAGCTAAACCAAAAACATCCCAGTTGCTGAGTTCCCTCAGCCCAGAAAAAGCACATGTTTATGTGGACTAGGGCTTTGAGAACCCAGCGAGTCTAAACTGCACTGAGCTACAGTACTAAAAAAAATCGAGAAATCCAAGCCCAAGAGTCTGCATGGCTGAGAAGGACGCTTCCAGAGATGGTGGCGATGCAGCCATCCTCACCTGGGCGCTCTGCGCATGATCTTCGACATCGTTGTGCGATATCATTCTGGGGTTACACACTTGATGGACATAATTGAGGCACATGTGTAGGCATCAATGTAGAATGAAAACTATACATGCTGCTTTGCGATAAGGTAACCCTCACGCTGCCAGTCCCCCGCCACTGCCGCCAAGGCCGGGGGCAGGGCAGCGTGCGTCTCGGACACACGGATGAGCCAGCGAAGGGCCCAAGGACTCAGGGCACAGTCCAAGACGCATCCTTGATACAAGGCATATGCCAGAAAGCGGCCCAGCCATCTGTACAAAGAATGGGCCTTCACGTGAAAGGCATGGACCCGCATGTCCGTGATGCTATCCGGCTTGAAGAAGCTGCCAGAAGCTTTGGTGTCAAAGAACTCCTCGCTTCCCCACAGTGCATGACCAACTTCTTGTACCCACCGTTTCGTAAGTCCACCATGGTCGATGCCGACATCATCCCCGGTGAACTGTATCTTGAAGCCCTGAACCCACTCCTTCCCACTTCGAGCTGTCGTTTTTGCGAAGGACCAAGCTAGCATCTGCCTCGCTGCCTTCATGCGGGCTTCAGGGTCGGCGTCTCCCCCAGGGAAAGGTCCGGACACCTGCAGCAACCTTGCATGAGAGGGTGCTGCATGCCCAGGCCTGTTCCACCCGTTCTGAGTTCGCAAGTCCTCCAAGGCTTTGCTGAACTTCTTCACAGCTTCTTTGTCGGCTGCAGTGGGCTTCTTGCGTCCCTCGGTCCTGAACAGCGCAGGCATCTTTTTGCCAGGGCTGTCTTCTTGCCCGCGCAAGCTGATGAATTCTTCGCTGGACTGCAGCTTGTACAGCAGGCCATCGTCGCTGAGGAAGGCGGACTTGGTCAGTCGTGCGTCAGGGTCAAGAGCAGCCATCTCACGATAGTGGGTGTTCACATAGCTCTCTATCCACTGTCTACCAAGCTCTCCAACTTGGTATGCAGCTGCAAGCGCAGGCACTAGCTCTGCCGGAGACAGATGTCCATCTTTGCTTCCATCCCAATAGTCAAACCATACCTCAGGGAAGCAACTGACATGTTAAGGCACTCGCGTTCAATGTCGGAGGAGCCCTGGCTGCTTCCTCCACCACGCCTCTGGATCAGCAAAGAGGTCAGGAACTAGACCCCAAATTTCGCAGGCTTGGGCGCGGAAAATCTGGTCGCCCAAGTTGTACGCTTTCCTTGGAGCCACATCTTGAGCAACATGGACACTGTCAGCACATGTGAGCAGCCTGTCAAGGGCATGGCCCAAGATTTCTTCCGAGGTGCTGTCCAGAACTGTCCTGTGCTTCCAGATCTCCACCATGCGCGTGGATGAAACGCAGGAGTTCTGCTGCTCGCCGTGTTTTGGGCCGTCCAGCTGCAATCTTGTGGAGCACGGTCTGACCTCTAGGGGCTTTGGGAGGGACCCTTAATGGGGACCCTTCTAGCTTATGGGGGGTAATATGGGTACTACCTGGTTATGTAGGGGGTATAGTATACAAGGCAAGAAAGCCCCGCCCATAAGGCTTCTCGACTTGATTTTTTGAATTCGGATGCTCCAGCCTTGACCATCTTGCGCATGCGCCATTTGTGGGAACTCCTGGCTTGCTGTTAAGGAACATAAATCAAGTTCCTATCATAAGGAAACCTTATAATCTACTATGTCTACCCATATTCTGGTAGCTTGAAAATAGTTCCTGAACAGCAACCCAGACTCAGTCAAGATGTGGGCCAGGAGAGACCAGCGCCCGTTGCAGGCTGCCTTGAACCAGCGATTCTTTCTACTTAAGGGGGACTACACCCTTAACCCCAAACCCTAAACCCTGTACCCTAAACCCTAATCCCTAAACCCTAAATAGTAGTTTCCATCTTATTTTCCATTCTCCCACTATAACCCTCCATGGCCTTGAAGCAGCGTTGTCGCAAGTCTTCCATGTGCTGGGAGGATGCTGGCACCTCACCAACCACCTTACTGGCTGTTAGTAAGTGGTTAAGGGTTTAGGGTTTAAGGTTTAGGGTTTAGGGTTTACCTACCACCTACGTAGCTGGTAGTAGGGAATAAGGGAATATGGTATATAGGGATTCTATAGGGATTTAGGGTTTTTAAAGGTTCTGGGGAGAGATAACTCCCAAGAATGGAAAATGAAATGGAAACTACATAGGGTTTAGGGAAAAAGTGTTTAGGGTCAACTTACCGGGGCTTGGTAGGGAATAAGGCTGAATAAGGGGATATGTTATATAGGGAGTCTCTGCTCCCCACTAACAACCACTAAGCCGCCCGAAATGGAAGAGCTGACTGCAGTATCTCCGGCTGCGACGACCTCTTGGGAATCTGCGAAAGCAGCTCGAGGGTTCGGGCTTCGCTTGCTATGGGCGCCCCAACAATTTCAAAGAATCGATCTCTGCCGCCAGTGTCCTCCTCATCCAACTCGTGGAAGAGGAACATGAAGCCACCATGTCGGGCCCCGGGTCTCAGCATCTTCTCCTCGGGGCAGATCCAGCACATATACCGGGCCCCAGCGCTGGCCCACTTTTGGACAGTGACCTTGTTGAATCGCCCAGCCTCAGCGAGCTTGCGGGTCCACTCAGCACACCAGGGCTGCGGCGCCGAAAATTGCATGGGACCGCTGGGATGAAAGGAGACGGAATTCGCGCACAGCACTTGTAGCTGTGACTTCTCATCCACCTGAAGAAAAACGAAGCCACCAACAGTGAGGAATGACCAGTCTGCTGCCGTGCCATCTTCTTCTCGGTCTGAATCACCCAAAATCATATGCCACTCAAGCTGTAGAGCATACATCCAGGCTATCATGACGCCGGGCACATCAGGAATACGATTCGCCCTACGCACTTCGGAGCTCAGCTTGGTCGGAGCTACAGGCGAAAGGTCAACTGCAATACCAGTACGCCCTCTGGGCAATTCTATGGCGACGCCGTTGTCGAGCAAGGCCTTCCAGCATCGCTGGAGACTTCGCCCATGTTGGAAAAACGTTTCTTGCAGAATCCACGTCCCACCACGGCGCTCATCGGCGCAGAAAAGATCTGAGCCCTCTAAGCTAGTTCTCTGAATGCTAAAGGGACCAAGCCCACTAGGAAAAGTGAAGGTACAGGGCTCCACAATGTAATTGCTCTTGTCGGCCTCCTTCTTACAGATCCCACAAACGCGGAAGTCGCAGCCAGCAGTGCACTCATGGTAGAAGCCGCCACGTCGAGACACCTTCTCGTGACAAACATCGCAGTAACGTCTAGAGAAGAGGCCAAGCTTTCTTCCTTCGGAAGTTGTAGCGTGACCTCTCGGGCAAAGCATTCAACAGCAGCCTGTGTAACGTTGAAGCCCTGCCATTGCACACAGATGGAGAAACAACGACTGCGCTCAGCTCGCTGCTATCATGGAAACATGACCTGCTTTCTGAGCTTGGTTGTCTGCTTTCAATTATCCAGCGAATTATCTAGTGGCTACGGCTACTGTGATGATCTGTGATGGTTCTCTGGTGCGCATTGCTTTACCCCATCAAGAGTCCATTGTTCATCACAAGGTGCACGTTGAAGGAAAACACTGATGTCAGGTGCTGACCCCATCAAGTAGAACAACTGCATGGCCATCTACAGAGCTGCAATCCTCTTCGCTGTTGGTAGCTGAACCCCAGCAGTTTGCAGCCTTTTGCATTGGATAAAGCCCTAAGTTCTCAGGTAGGCAGCTGCACTTTCTGCACGGAATCCCCTAGAGGGAAACCGCTTCACCCATCTTTGACGGGCAAGCCAGAGTGTGGTACTTTGCTCTGCGCTGCACCCTGCCTTCCATCACTTTGCAACAAGGTTTTCCGAGCCACTTCTCAATTTCTTTCGCATCTTCCTCATCAAAGCCCGGGAAGGCAACTGTCATTGCCTTCTGGCATCCAGCTGGGCCGGAATACCTGCGATATACGTATTTCATGAACATCTTGTGGTCATATAACTTCTTCTGCCGGTCTACTGCTTCCACGTCAAACTCCTTTCGAAGAAGCGCCTCCAAACGGCTCACCTGGGGGTTTCCCAAAATTAAGGGTACCTTTCTGGGGGTCCCTTGATAAGGACTATAATATTTTGGGGTCTAAGTTGGGGTCTCCCAATCTTGGGAAACTACCACCTCTGTTGGGAACTCAGAAGCTATATCCTTCAGTTCCCAGGGATCGTCAGCAAGGTTGAAGAGCTGTGCCGGCCAGCGAACACCGTTCTCCAGAGGTGCATGAACAATTAACTTCTTCTCGCCCTGCCTGACCATGAACCTGGGTTGCAGTCAAGGAACTTACTTCAACTATGATGGGAGAACCAAATTAATTACTATGTACATATACATATACATATACATATATATATATATATACCCGTGTTACGGTAACTTACTTTAACTTCCTTAACAACAACCGGGGAACGTACCGGTCCTGGAGAACGTGTCGTAGTACTCAGAAACCACATAGTTCTTTTTGCGCTGGTCCCAGCGTGCCATCGGCAGAACAGACTCGCCAGCAAGCTGATGTGTCGGTACGCGAGAAGCTGCGCCAGCCATGTCTACAAGGGTTGGATAGATGTCCTTGGTAGCCCCGTGGCCCATATTACAACCAAGGCACCCTCGCCTGCATAAAGGACCCCAGAAACCCGCACCCAAGAGGCGTACGAGTACCACTATATGAGTCCTAGTATGCCCCTTGAAACCCCCATGATGCTCTGCTCCGCTGTATAATCCCCTATCTTCGCCCCTTTAAGGAGTTCAGACCCTAAAGCCTAAACCCTATATACTCTCCTACACAACTTTTCACCATAAACCCATAGCTCATATGCTTCCTGGTGTCATTCAGGGATGCAAGTGACTGAATCCGCCGACCTTTCGGCATCCCCGGTCCCGAGACAATCCTGAGCTGTGGGGTTTAGGGTTGTAGGGTTTAAGGTTGTAGGGTTTAGATTGTAGGGTTTAGGGTTTAGGGGTTAGAGTTTCGGCACGCGCATCGCACTCAAGCAGACACGGTTCGTTCCGGGATTAGAGTTTAGGGTTTAGGGCTTAGGGTTTAGCTCTGAAAGTTTGGTGTTTAGGGCTTAGAGCTTAAGTTACCATGTTATGGGTATATTGCCACTTGCATGGCCGTAGCAGCGCAAGGCACAATTCGGGCGAGGTAATAAAGCAAGTCCAGAGGATGCCAACTCAGAGAAACAACAGGGTTGTGGTGGGTATTTAGGGTTGAGGGCTTAGAGTTTAAGTTAGCATGTTACAGTTCATATGTTCACCCAATACAGTAACTTAACTTAAGCTCAACCTAGAATCAGGGGAATGCGAGCAGATGCTTCCTTCATGGAGCTCTTCTGCCACTGGCGATGCTCCAAGTTGAGCTCACCATGGTCAGACACAAATATGACGAAAGCACTATCGGGATCTACCTGGGTTGTCCTTTGAGCCCTTTAAAATTATTTACTATTATGGTTCTAATCAAATTAATAGAGGAAAGCAAAAAAGATCTCAAAGGACAACCCAGCTACATTGTTCCAAAACGCCTTCAGGATCCTGCCCACCAAGTGATCTGCTTCAACACACATAGCGAAGTAGACTCGCCGGAAGTGTTCAATGTGCTCTGGGCGGCAGCTATCCAAATTCCAGAACTGCTTGGACTTCACGTAGTATTCATCAGCTGGATGTAGCTGATCCCGCGGAACCTGCACGGGAATAGCATGTTTGCCAAGAGGTCCAACCAAATTCCAATACGTGTTGTTCGTCTGGTAGGGGGGATGAGGCACTGCAAAGGAGCAGTAGAGAAATTGCGGCGTCGATGATTTGAAGAGCCCTTGCTCTAACAAGCGCGTGCACTCGTCTGCGGTGGGGTAATCGAAAAAATTCTCTGCCGGCTTGGGCACATTGATGGGCCGTTGCAGCCAGTCAGTAGGGTCCTGTTTCTTGGATGAAACCCCCGTAGAGCGAGTCCAAGCCTTAGCGGACTCACGGACAAGACCTGTTCCCGTGAACGGATCATTGAAAATGTGTCGGCTGAAGCGTTCGACCCCACCTCCAGCATGGACCTTCCCCCAAAGGGTGAGGTTGTAGCCATGGTCGTGAAGAACATCGAAGAATGTCCCGTTGATCTTCTGCTCAGCTGCAAATTGATCGCATTCCCTGCGGGAGTAGGCGTCCAGGCAGTGCTGGTCTATCTGGCCGTCATCGCCATTGACGCTCGCGATACCCACAAAGTTGTCCCAAATCTTTATGTCTGAGTTAAACCTTCCGGTGACCATTGATGTTCTTGCAGGAACACACAAGGGAGAGTTGCTATAGGCATTTGGAAAATAAGTACCTCTCTTCATCAGCGCTCGCAGATTTGACAGGGGCGGCTTGAACTGAGGCGTTTCATCGTCTAGTAGGCGCCCATCCATCTCATCTACCATGAGGAAAAGAATGTGGGGCCGCTCGTGCTTCTCTTGCTGCTCCGCAGCATTGAGAACCTGGCTGCAGCCTGCGATAATCAAGAGTGCTCTAGCAGGCAGCGACATCTGATTCGCTAACAGGCACGGAGGGTAAAACGTGCACTAACCATGGGCTGGGATGCTTTGGTGCCTTCCTTCAGCAAATGCTGCGGAAAAGTTGCGGACAGGTGGACTGCTAACACAGGCAGGCCATACACGGGAACAGGGTCTGCGTGCCCTGGTGCAACGACTGCTCCGTGCCCAACTGCCCGACCGAAGCTCTGCTACAAGTATCTACGCGACATTGACTGGCGACTTAAGCTCAATGCATTCCACTTTTCTTGCCAAGCGCGAGTTCTACCATGATTTTGGCCGTGCTAGTGACCTTATAACAGCATTCGAGAAGGCAACAAACGCGCGCCAAAGCTGCGTTGGCTTTGGGATGCGGGTCATCGAGGCAGGACAACTGCTGGACTGCTTTCTCACGTCATCTTGACTTTTTGACAGCTCAGCGTTCCGCTTCGATAACCCGGGCGTGTCCCTGTACAACGTCATGCTGCATCCACATCAGAGGAGGCAGCGCCATGCTACGAAGACATTGGCTCACATGCTCGAAGCCCGGTATCCTTCCCAGACCACTAACCCATTCGCGTCATAGCACTCCAAGGTGGCACCTGGAGGAACTTTTTCGAGCATCTTGGGCGGCTCCAGTTTCAGCCACTCCTGCATCAGGCTGGGTAGTTGACGACTAGTGACAAATGACGATATGCCGATATGAACAGCAGAACTATGAACACGAAGAAAAGACCGCAAATGACTAGGAAGAGCTTGATGCAAAACAGGTGAACCCGGGAATAGAATAGCAGACGGGACGATGAACAAATGTGCAAGATGGTCATCAACATGATTGGCAGTGATCGAAGCAATGGTTGGTTGCAAGGAAACGGATGAGGTGAATGAAGACAATGACAAACTGCAGCCATAGCAATGATGCAGGTAAGGTTGACGCCGATGCTGAGGTCGAGGCTGCTGATACTGATGGCGTTGATGGCTGTAAGAAAAGACGCCAGAAGTGACATGTGACTGCTGAGGCTGAGCTTGGCATGTCTTTTTGGCAAAGCTTTGGGCGATGCAGAAGACTCCAACGACAATCACATTAATTAGGAAGATGACAATGACACACGACACTACTGATGACGATAAAGATGTGAAGGGCACAACGACAACAATGACATGATGGAGTTCATGATGGCGGTAAGGACAACAATACTGGAGACGATAATGTTGATGATGGTAATTTCATGCTCTCCGCATAACTACCAGAAGTCTCCCTCATCCATCTCAATTTCGCGCGACACAGAGATGGCACCGCACAAAGCACATCTTGTCCCACACTTGCATTCACATTGCATCGTGGCTTCCCCTTTAGCAAACGTCCCGCAACACACCCATAAGCCCTATAGAACCCCAGTTTCCATTTCATTTTCCATTTTCTTTTCCATTTGATTCTCCATTATTGGGGTAATATTGGGTACCCTGGCATATCTAGAAGCTCAGTCCCCCTCTGCCAGCTGGCACCCCAGACTCCCCGTTCGATACTATCAATCAAACACTGCTTTCCGGAGGTGTGGCTACGCTCAAGACTAGCTGTGCCTGTAGTCTCCTTAGACCTATACTAAAGATAATATTTTCAATATTTCCTTAGGGTTATACTTTAATACAATTTAAAAATAATTCCTCCTGATGACAAGACAGCTGCTAGCTCTGTGACATCGCTACTCTGGGAAGCCTCAGACTGTTGCCAGCCTTCCCCAAGCTCTTGAGCTTCAGCACCGACAGAGAGACCAGCGCGGGCAGCAGATTAGTGAAAGCTCCCATGGTCTGGGAGTCAAGGGGAGCCTGTGCGCAGGATTTTCTCAATAGCACAAGGTAATGACAACACACTTCTTTGCCGACATGTCACTGTACTCTGCGGGGTGGGGGGAGGGATACGTGCAGTGCAAGTTCAGTTTGTTTGACATGTTGCGATATGTGTTTTTTAAGGATGCTGACGTGCGGATGTGACTCCTGCAGCCTTGATGTTCAAGGATAGAGCTTCGGATCTTCGCACCCCAGGAAAAGCAAAATTATGAAACCCATGCTGCTCATGTTCCCTGCATTTGACTCTTTTTGGATGAAGGCCTGCCTTGCGGAGGTCTATCTCAACGAAGCGAGATGCAAGGTGAGCAGCGCTGAGCATGCCAAGCAGGAGCGAGACCTCAGCTTTACGAACCAGTGACACGCTCTTCCTCCAATTGATCTGGCACCTGCTTCTCTGGCGATGAGGCGAGCATGCGTCCTTAAGCAAATTGGAGATTTGCTTCCAGCGGGCAGGGACTGAAAGGAGTGTCCTGCGCGGGACTCTTTGGGACGCTCCACGAAGTTTGGAGTGTACACGAAGGATCTCAGGCGTGGCCTGCGCGATTTGCAGAAAACGTGTCAGTGCATGCGGGGCATCAAACGCAGCATGCATGTCTGGCCCGATCGCGTCGTACGACACGTCGAAACTGGCTCTGCTGACTGCAGAGACATGGACAGCCTCAGTACAGATTCTGAAAGAATCTGCCAACATGTTGCCCTGCCTAGTCTGCAGCTCAACTCTGGAATGCTGAAAAGATGCTTCACGCAAGCTCAGGAATTCCAGCGGACGCCGCGCCACATCTCGCGGCATGCGGTCCGAGAACAGCTGTCCACGTGCACGACCCGACAGGAGGGCCTGTCCAACCAGATCATGCCAGCCATTTAGCCGAGTTTACTATGCCAAACTTTGCTGAATGCACTTGAATGCAACCCATGTCGTTGAACGCTATGAAATGCACAAGTGGCCTCCGCCATCCGCGGTCCGACAAGACGTCGAAAGATCGACCGCAGCTGCTCCCAGGATTTAGGCGAAGACTCCTATGATGGTGACGCACTGTCACGTGCTCACACGAGCGGCATGCAACTACTGCTGGAATCATCATCCCAATGTCCTTGAGTCTGCAGGCAGCAAAATCATCATCCCCATCCACACCGAGCATTCGCTGAAGCTGTCCCCCAACCTTTTGACGCAAAGGAGGCTGGAATCCGCATGACTTTGGGAATGGCTGCTGCTGCATGCCAAGAAGCCTTGTATCTGCGCCTGGTGCGCTCTGATGCAACCGCAGCGAGCAATCGCTTTTGGCGGATCGGCCACGCCTGCTTCCTCGGCCAGGATCAGACTACAACTAAAATGGGGACCTCCCCAAAGAAGGGCAAGCAAGGCTCTCTGCAAGCGTTCTCTGCGCTGCCTCAACACGCCAGCTGCGGATCATGGCCTTGCCACTGGCTGCAGCGTGAGCTTGGGGCTTCCAGGGATCCTTATTGTCTGGCCTTCTTCGTTTGAACTGTCGTCATCTCGTTGATAATGGCAAGGAGCTCTTTACACAAGCTGAGCGCCAGCCTCGGAATCATCCCTTCTGTATATGGAGCTCTACAGTTTGCTACCTGCCAATGCGGAGCACACAAGATCATCCTACAAATGCGCAGCTACAGAAGCTGTCAGCTTGCTGCCAAGTGTCCGGAGGTTGCTCGTGGTGGGCGTGCCTGAGTTTGGGCTGTGACCGGTCTGCGAACAAAATTATCCCTAAACCCTAAACCGCGTTGCTGCAGGTAAGTGGCTGAAACGCTCTCCGCCCAGCTGCCGGTAGCAAGTGAATTGGGACATCAGGTATGGGCTCTCCCCAAGTTCCTTGCATGTGCCGCTAGCATGAGTCATGAGCCACATTTGCATCTCAACAATACTCCATAACATTGCGTAAAATTCCCTAGTGCCCTAATGCAAAGCGGGACAGCCAAGCATCGTCACAGTACTCTTCGATTGTAACTGCCTGCGTTTCGGTAGTAGGCCCTCGTGTCCCAGCCCTTCGCCTCAAAGAGAACAGAGCGTTTCTCCATCGAAGCGCCTGGAGCTGCGAAGAGGTCTTCGAAGACTGGACGCGAAGATCGGAGAACATCACACGAGCTTCGTATTTTCCCCAGGTGCGCCGGACACCAGGCAGCGAGATGCCCTTTAAGGGCTTTTGCCTGATCTGTCCTTGGCTCGGTTTCTGTGGATCCTCTGCCTCTGTGAGGTAGTCCTGCAGAGCCTTCAAGATGCCCTCATCCTGGGTTGCTGTTACGGAACTTAATTTACCACAATGGGAATATGGGGTTGCAGAGGGATAATGGAAAAGAAAATGGAAGCTATAGGGACTATAGGGGTTGTATAGGGGTTATACAGGGATTGTGGGTATATATTGGAATTATATAGGGATAATGGAAACGAAAATGGAAGCTACTCTTCCCAATGTAGCAACTTAGATCAAATTCTGTAACAGCAACCCAGCATCGAGGCGCTCCAGGTGACAAACGTACTCAGCTTGATGCTCAAGCCGTAGCGTGAGCAACGAGTAAGCTACGCTGCTGGCCTGGCCTACAGGACCTGTCAGGGCAAACAAAGGAGGCGGCTTCAGGGAAGCATCAAACGTAATAGTGGTAATTATAGAAGAATAGCAGTGAGCGAAAATAATAACATAGAAGCCATAATAATAACAATAATAATAGAAATATAGTTACCGATAATAATTTCTAATGACGGTAATCCTAACAGTAAAAATATGTAATAATCCAAACAATACCAAGAATACTAACGCTAGTAATAATATGCAATATTCGTATAAAAAAATAGTAGTTGGAAGCAGGCCGGGCAAGGCAGAGTTGGCCTGCTCGGCGGTGCTTTGCTGCAAGGTACCAGGTTGGGGGCGAACACTTGCCATGGATGCGGCAAGCTGTCGCGTCAGACATGGGAGGCAGGGAGCGTCAGTAATAATTTGTATATTCTTGATAATGAAATATTAGCTGTATGTCTATATTCATATAGAAATAATGATGTAGCAATCCCTAAACCCTAAACCCCAAACCCAAACCCTAATACATACGAATAATGGTATTGATTGTAAGAGCGTGACGTGACGTATGTTCTCCTGCAGCTGTCCCTGAGTTGATGGCCCCTGACCTAGCAGACTCTTTCCAGCTGGCTGCACTTAAAACATTGCATGCAACATGGGATGGCACAGTAATAAGATAGCAATACTAATTATGATAATAAGAATAATATAACATTGACACATGACCCAGGCTCATGAAGCAGCGCAGGCTTGTTCAAGTCTGCACTTGCCAGGCGCAGCTACAGTCGCCAGGGAGGCAGCTTGCGGCTCTGGGCCCTAAACTTACTGGGTTTAGGGTTTAGGGTTTAGGGTTTAGAGTTCAGGGTGGTTAGTAGGGATTATTTTTGGAATATTAGCCCTACAATATAAGGCCTTTATATTGTACATTCCCTTTATTCCCTACCCACCCCCAGTAAACAAAGAGACCACAAAGGGGGGCTTTGCTGGCGCTTGCATGCACATGTATATGGGGGTTTCTCAAAATTATGGGTACCCATAATATTTTGGTGTCTATGTTAGGGCCCCCCTATGTTCTAAAACTACCATGTATATGCGATGACAAATGTAGAACAACAACATCCGAAATTGATTGTTTAGGTTTCAGGACCCCAGCTGCTGCCAAGCCGCGATCCCCTTGAGCCTCTCGTGGCTCAGTCTACGAGTTGCTCGCGATGCTAGCAGAACATGCCGGAATCAATTAGGAGTAGGAGCCAATGCTTGGGCTATAATCCCTTCCCCCTCATTAAACCCCCCCCACCCCCACTAACATTAAATACTCCCATAATGTGGCATGTTTTTAATATATTGGGCGTATTTACTAGTAGGGGGGTGGGGGTGTTTTATATATCTTAATATCAGAGGAGGGGACTATGACCTTTGCTATTGTAGCAGAGCATGCCCGCTTTGTTGGCCCGCAACCCGTCCTCATCAGCTGCATGTGGTCCAGCAAACTGCTCGAACAGCAGGGCGAGCGACACTTTCCGTGTTCATCGCTCAAACCCGGAACTCAATAGGCTGATCCTGTACAACTATAGTTCCCCATAAGTAGATAGAATATGGCTTTGGGTATGTTATAATAAGGTTCCCACATACCCCACATTGTATCTACTTAAGGGGGACTTTACAGCGATAGGCAAAAAAAGAGTGACGAGCAAAGCTTCAGAGCGCCGAGTTAGGTCTCTGGTCGTTGCAAAGAGAAAATCTCACCCGGTTGGTTCGTGCTTGGCCACAAGAAACCAAGGCCAAGAAAGGCATCAATACAAACTTGCTTAACTTGAGAAAGCTAAGCACGAATCTTGCAGAGCCTTAGGCCCCTACAATACATGTTTTCAGCGTGCAGGTGTGTGCTGCCTGGGGTGCCACGTTTGCCCCATCCGGCCCTTGCAGATTGCAGGCAAAGCCTACACATGCTGTGCCCGGAATTACACATAATGAGTGCTTCAGCATGCTGGGATAAGTGGGAGCAACCGCTGCAGATCCTGCCATCGTCGTAGGTCGCATTGCTCCAAGTGCAGTGCGGTTCCTGCCCTGCCCAGCCTGGTGCAGACCACAAAGTCAGAAGGTGTAAACGTGATTCGTTGTCGCAGTTCGGGGAAACGCTGCACGGCGCCAGAGCTGTCCACGCTAAGCAAGCAGCCCTGCAACTGCGTCTGGGAATCGCAGCGATGGAGGAAAGACGCCGTCCACGAGTCCCGAAGCTGCGTGACGGATTGCAGTTCCACGAGCCATAGCTTGTGCCTTTTAAATATGAATGCTCCATTTCTGCCTGGTACTACAGGCAACATTGTAGGCGGACTGCGTTCAAACAGCTCCAAGAAGGCTTCACCATTGTCTGACGCAGCATTCAGAAGCGCACGGGCTCTCTGGAACTCGCATGCATACAGCAGTTCTGTGGCCACCGGAATTTCAGGTATCAAGTTCCTCCTTCCGGTGCCTATGATCACTGGGTCCAAGATGCAAGGAAACGGCCAAAGCCGCGAGCGCGGCGTCCCCTCTGAAGTAGAAACACCAAGAGCTGCTTCACAGCAAGCCAGTGGTTGGAAGAAATATGCAAGTGCTGCTAGGAGCCGATGGACGTGACTCAAGCCGGTTGCCCTTTGAATCCTTTCTTTGGCTAGAAAGGCCTGCAGCTTTTGGACGGCATATAGAATCCAAGCCAAAATTGGATATGCCCCCTCTTTGGTGCCAGGCATTTGACGCTGCGAGTGCCAATACTTCACACATCTCAGGTAATCCACAACCTTACAAGGGGGTTGCACGACATGTTGTGACAGTGGCACTTCAACATAGGGTTGGTTCAATATATGCCTTTCCCACAAACCACCCTCTCGCCGCGCCTTTTGCAGCCCCAACAAAACTCCACAAAAGCTATGTCTGATTATGTCTGGACAGCTCCGGGTCTGTGCGGATCATGCTACTATGCTACTATATTGCGGCACCCTTCCCCGTGCGGACCTTTAGCGACGACAGAAACCCCCTATGCTTCTGGCATGTTCCTGTGGCATTACTTCAGAGTATGCATCAACCAGCTGCCAAGGAGCTAGCTCATGCTCCTCCTGGAATATGTCCAAGTTCTGAAACCAGCGGACATGCTCATCCTTGTGTTGCTGGGCATTCAGATGTGGCTAAGGTTTTATTTGGGCTGGAGTCTAACCTCCTAGTATCGCCCTTAATAACCGCTATAATATCCCGCTTAATACCCTCTATAATATCACCCTTACTAAGCCCTATAATATATCCCATGTAATGCCCCTTTAAGGAGTGTAGACTATACCCTAAACCCGTAGCGCCCCTTTAAAGAGTGTAGACTATCGCTTATTTGGAGCTTTCAGAGATGACCCTACTCTGCTTTGGCTGTGTCTTTAGAGGTACCCTGTCCCATCCTTCAAGCAAGCGCATAGAAACAGTAATAATAAGCATCACAACAAGAATAATAAATTAAACATTGTAATAGTAGCAATAACCATGGGAGCACGAGTAACAATACGAGAAATAAGAATAGTAGCAACAAGAACATTTTTGTAATACTAATAATAGTAACAACAATAGCAACAATAACAAGAGTAAGTATAGCAATAATCGTGATCAGAATAATAGCAGAAAAATTATCAGCAATAATCGTAACGAGCAGGGATAGAACTTCGCCGTCCATGTGCTATGGCACCCATGGCATTGCTGCCACGCAACGGGCAATGGCCGATTTACCGATAGGTCAAGGGACACCACGCCGTCAGCGGCTGAAACCTCCCCGTACCAGTCTGAGACATCTGGAACTGCCGCTTAGGCTTATCCACACATGAGAGGTATGGTCTCAACTCCTTGGAGGGGGTTATATAAGGGAATATATAGGGGACTACTATGGGGGTCATTAAGGGGAGTGATGGGGAGTGCTAGGAGTTTCGACTATAACTCACACATCACAGGATGTCTCCGAAATCAAGTAGAGCGGCCATGATAATCGGTACTCGGGCACGGTCAATGACTCGCGTGCGCAGCGATGGTTCCTCTAGAGATAGCACCCTGTCTGATGATGACCCCTCTGACAGCTGGCAGCAAGACTCCGGAAAGCCTCCTCTAGAGATAGCACCCGGTCTGATGATGACCCCTCTCTCAGCTGGCAGCAAGACTCCGGAAAGCTTCCCCGATCACCCGTCTGCGATCCTTCCGCCTCAACACATCTGCGATCGTGTGCAGCGCCCGGATCACGTCGACAGGTCTGGTAGTAAAGGCGACGGCATCAACATCCTTTGAGAAGCAAAACTCTGCAGCAGCAGCTTCGCATGCTGGGCATGAATTGGGTTACACATGCCGCGCCAGGACTCAAGCAAAGGGTTTGATTCGATTTGATAAACAGCGACCTGTCCAAGGGGCAGAGGAAGGAACATCTATTGTCAAAGCCACCTGAGTGGGGGTGAACAAAAGATCTTGAGCCCGAGAGTCTTGCATGCCAGACTGACTAGGCTCCTGGCACTACCTACCAAAGCCATGCGATCGAAGCTCGGGAGGGCCTCTTGCACGGCATCCCTGCCAGGGGCTCTGGGCAATGCTGTGAAAAAAACACCCCTTGCTTGGAGGGAAATGTTCCTTGTGGCCTGACAGTGCTGAAGAGCCTCTGCCGCAAGGGACGCAACTGAGAGGATTCTGTGCGCCTGCACCGGACAGCATGAAGGAATCCCGTGGCCAACACGGAGCGGGGTAGGCAATTTTGCTTACAGCCAAGATGCAGCAAAGTCAGTATCTGATCCACACCTTCAGTTCAGGCTTGCGTTTCATGTAAGCTTAGAAGACTCCAGCATGGCGCAATTCTGGACAAGAAGCATTGGTCAAATGATTGCGTTCTTGCGCAGCTGACATCTTCTGGATTTTCTGAGCAGCACCTCAGTATGCAAGAGAGAGCTGAGCCAAGACGCAACTACTTTCCGGCCATGCAAAGAAAGTCGACCCTGGCATTTCTGCAGGGTGGCTGTGGCATATCACATGAGAAACTGCGCAGCAGGGCAGATGCACTCACTTGGCTCTGCCCCTTGAAGCAGAGCCAGCAAGCTGACTTTATGCCAAAGAGGCTCAACAATCGAAACAGGTTTTTTCGGAGCTTTGGGCTATTCTAGCTCCATATTGGGGTTATATTTGGGTTATATTAAGGTCATATAAAGGTTATATAAAGGTTATATTGGGGTTGTACTGAAGAAGCACAGCGGCTTTTCACTGTTGACGTCGCCATCTTGACTGAGCGCGTCGTGACAAAAGACCTGCCAGGTGTCCGACAAGCTCAGACTATGCCATGCCGAGCGCAGCGTCATCAGTGATGTGGAGAAGCAACGCTTTCTGCAAAACAAATGCCTCGGAGTGTAGCGAAGT